CAGAATGACTTCCTTTGTGAAGCAGACGAAGGCAAAGTGTCTGTTCTTGCCTTGCTCGATCTACGTGCTGCATTTGATACCATCGATCATTCAATTTTGATAAGGAGGTTAGGCCATAGCTTCGGCCTATCTGGGACTGTTGTTGAATGGTTTGAGTCCTATTTGTTTAATCGTACACAGTCTATACTTGTAAATGGTGAAATGTCATCCATTTTCAGCTTGCAATTTGGCGTGCCCCAAGGGTCAGTGCTCGGACCACTCTTATACACAATATATACAAAGCCATTAGGTTCAATAATTAGGAAGCACGACGTTAACTACCACATGTACGCGGACGACACTCAGCTGTACAAGTCTGTTTTACCAACAAATTTCAATTGTCTAGTTACCAGCATGGAACAATGTATTGTGAAGGTTAAAAAATGGATGATATCAAACAGACTTAAAATGAATGATGATAAAACCAAAGTTCTGTTTCGCAATGCCAAACCAGGGATATCGCTTTGTAATTTTGACCATATATGTATTGGGAATGATAACATCTTTTTCACAGATAAAGCGAAAAATCTAAGCGTTTATTTTGACTGCAAACACTCTATGCACCATCATTTAAACCACCTATGTTAGGTAATTTATCTAGAACTACGCAGAATAGGACAAATGTCAACATATCTTACTGTTGATTCCATCAAAACCCTCATCTCTTCTTTTGTCCTTTCACGTCTAGACTACTGCAATTCTTTGTTTGGAAACCTTCCCACTGAAACGTTAAATAGATTACAGCGATTCCAGAACCAAGCTGCTTGCATAATTTTAAAGAAATCTCTCAAAGAGCATATAACACCAATGCTAATTCAACTACATTGGCTCCCGGTGAAAGCACGAATTCAGTACAAAATAGTCGTTCTTTGTTTTAAAGGCGTCAACAACATTGCACCATCATATCTTTGTGACATGGTCATCGAATATATACCATCTCGGCCTTTAAGATCGGCGACGAAAAGACTTTTAAGACCTGTCCAAAGCAAAAGTCAGAGACTCGGAGGGAGAGCTTTTTCACACCCCCTCCTTGTGGAACACTTTACCAGCTCATCAAAATTTAAATCAGCACTTAAAACGCATTTGTTTCAGTCCAGCTTCAATCTGTAATTTCCGACATTCCCAATACAAATATTATTCACTCTCAGTATCTATTATGTTCTCTCAGTATTGTTTATTCATGCAGTACTGTTATGTAAGAATTTATGACTGTGTGAATTAATCAATGTGTGCGAAGGTATCTGGGAAAGCTTTGTGGGATTGTCTTTACTCAAGGATGTGATGGAGAGAGAGGGAGAGAGAGAGAGAGAGAGAGAGAGAGAGAGAGAGAGAGAGAGAGAGAGAGAGAGAGAGAGAGAGAGTGAGACTAGTGAGAGAGACAGAGAGAGACAGAGAGAGAGACAGAGAGAGAGACAGAGAGAGAGAGACACAGAGAGAGAGAGAGAGAGAGAGAGAGAGAGAGAGAATGAGAAAGAGGATTACTATAGGAGCTGTGCGCTTCATATGTTCTTTGTATTATTGTACAGCGCATTGAGCACTTCTTTTGTGGAAATGCGCTATATAAATTTAAATGCAATTTATTATTATTATTTATTATTACAAGCGGAGGAGCGATATTGAGCGATAGCGAGATTAAATATTATATTATCTTCTATCTGGACGGCCA